CTGGCTCACAACAAGGACAGAAGGCAAGCCCACACACAGATATCTGAGCATCTGCAACCTTCTCCTGTAACATCGCTGTTACATTTCCAGCGAGGGACAGATGCACGTGTCGGGGGCATGGGGAAGGCTGCCTTCTAGACAGTCTTTGCCCCCTTGCGTGTTTTACTCCCTCCTGTCTTGACATCAAACGTCACTGACCTCGGCCACCATGGACCCACTTTCAAGGAGCCCAGATATCTTCAATTGCTATGGGTGATTATTAGAGCCCAGCTGTCTTTGTGGGCACCTAGGGGGCAGGGTGTCAGTCCTCAGTGAAGGCTCCAGGAACGGGCTTCATGTGGTGTGTGCTCCCAGCTGATGGTGCAGGGGAGTCATCCAGGCTTAATGTATAAGTGGGGCTTGATGGCTGGACGTGGTGTCTCACACCTGTAATACTAGCACTTTGGGAGCCTGGGTGTGGGGCATCACTTGAGTCCAGGAGTTTGATACCAGCCTGGGCAACATGGCGAAACCCCATCTCTCTTTTTTTTTTTTTTTTTTTGAGGTGGAGTTTCACTCTTGTTGCCCAGACTGGAGTGCAATGGTGTGGTCTCAGCTCACTGCAACCTCCGCCTCCCAGGTTCAAGTGATTCTTCTGCCTCAGCCTCGCGAGTAGGTGGGATTACAGGCATGTGCCACCACACCCAGCCAATTTTGTATATTTAGTAGAGACAGGGTTTCTCCATGTTGGTCATGAGGGCTCACGCCTGTAATGCCCTCACTTTGGGAGGCCGAGGCAGGTTCACGAGGTCACGAGTTTGAGACCAGCCTGACCAACAGGTGAAATCCCAACCCCAGGTGATCTACCCACCTTAGCCTCCCAAAGCGCTGGGATTACAGGCATGAGCCACCGCGCCTGGCCTCCCATCTCTATTTTCACAAAAATTAAAATAAATAAGTGGGACTTGGGAACAGAAGTGTTCCTGAGAGAATGGGAGGGGAGAAGCCAGATGGGGAGCCGTAGGGTGGGGCCTGGGGCAAGTCCCTGCCTAGCCCAGCTCTTGGAGTTCAGCGCTTTGAGTCTGTCTCCAGGCCGCACCTGAAGGATTGGAGCAGAGAGTCGGGGCGGCGGCTGCTCGGAGGGTGCTCAACTCGTCTTCCTGTCTTTGTCTCTCCTTCCTTCTTTTCTCTGTTGGGGCTTCCTCTGAGGGTCCCATTATCAATGTAACTCCTTTTCTTTTTTCTTCAAATAGACCCAGTAGAGGAGACAAAGGCAGGCATGAAATCAACGAGGACTGGGGGCCTCAGTCACCGCTTGAGTACCAGGCACTTCCTGGGTGCGCTTAGCCCTGTTACCATGCCAACTCCTAAAACACCGTTTTCTGAGACAGCCACTGTCGTCTGTCTTCACCACCACTGCCTGGTCCCTAGGAGATTATCCACAGACATTTTTTGATTGAATGGATGTGTAACTCCGATTTGCGGCTAGGGAAATGGGCTCAGAGAGGTTAGGCAACCAGCCGAAGGTGACAGAGCTGCTTTGCGGGGGAGTGGAAGGCAGAGACCTGCTGAGGGTGTCTTCAAAGTCCGGCTGCCTCGGATGCCCTGGACCCTTCTTTCAGACACCCTGACGCCCTCCTCCGGCCCTCATTCCTTTTGCTGCTGCTGGTGCCCTCATCCCAACCCAACCCCTTCCGCCCCAGTGGGTCTGTCACATGCTGCTCCTATGCCAAGCCTGTGCTCCCTGGGACCCCAGGGCAGCCCCTGCCCCTGGTTCCTGCCTAGCCAGCTTCCAGACTCAGCTCCTGCCATTCCCCTCTTACCCTGATGCAGAGGGTGCCTGGGCTGTCGCCAATACCATGCCCCTCCTGCCAGCCTGCACCTGGGGTGCCCTCCTCAAGCCTCCTCCTCCCTCCCCGTGCCCCTTGGGGCTCACCTCCTGTCCCTGCTCCTGTTCTCTGACCAGCCCTCCAGGGCAGTCTTAGGGACAGTTTCTGCACAGTCCTGGCCCAGCTGGTCACCCTGCAACGTCCCTGGTGGGTGGGTTTCCCCACTGGAAGGAAGGAATGCCCCAGGAAGGCAGGGCCGGGCCTCTGGTTGCTGAAGGAGTGAATTTCAGCAGCGTCAGGGGAGGATGTGGTGAGTGCCCAGCTATCATGGACCCGCTCTTTGGTTAACATAGATTCACTTGTTCCTTGCCCTAGAAGAAGCTCCGGAGGAAGCTCCTGGAAGAAGCTTTCTGAAGAAGCTCCTGAAGCTCTGAAGCTGCCCCACATCCGAAGTTGGAGGTGTGTGCCCCCAAACCCCCCTCGACTCGGGGCTCCCGGTCTAGAAGGCAGGCGGGGAGCCGCTCAGGCTCCCAAAGTCTCCAGTTTATTCTAGAGGGTGAGATAGAAGGCAGGACTAAGGTGAGAGGTTTCAGGAGGCTTAAGGGAAATTATCTGAGAAAGTCCTTCCTATGTATGACTTCCCAGAGCTGTGGCAAGGGGAGGGGAAAGCCGGATGGACAGGCCTGAGCCGCAGGGTGGGGCCTGGGGGGAGTCCCTGCCTAGCCTCCCTCTTAGGAGCTCAAACCTTTGAGTCTCTCTGAACATGTACCTTGGCAAGGGATCCCCCATCACGCCTTTGGCGGGGGTGGTTAGCAAAGCTCTTCAGGAGAGGGAGGTGGACGATGCCTTGGACTGCTGAGCAGCTCACGTTGTGCCCTGGCTTTTGTGTCAAAAGAGAGAGAAGAGCTCATAGGTGCACAGGTGGGCACAGAAACTCTGAAAGCAACTTAACAGCAGTGCCCTGAGGGGTAGGTGAGAGCTGGATTTGGGAGTGGGACAGATATGTTCCCATATGTTTTTACGTATGTATTTGAATCAAGCGCATGCTTTCAAAAGTTTAAACAATGAGCAACAGCAATAATGTGGAAATATTCATTTCTTAAAAAAAGGTAGCCAGGGCCGGGCGTGGTGGCTCACGCCTGTAATGCCCTCACTTTGGGAGGCCGAGGCAGGTTCACGAGGTCATGAGTTTGAGACCAGCCTGACCAACAGGTGAAACGGTTCTGTAGAAATGGTGAAACCCTATCTCTACTAAAAATCCAAAAATAATTAGCCGGGCCTGGTGGCTTGTGCCTGTAGTCCCAGCTACTCTGGAGGCTGAGGCAGGAGAATTGCTTGAACCTGGGAGGCGGAGGTTGCAGTGAGCTGAGATGGTGCCACTGCACTCCAGTCTGGGTGACACAGTGAGACTCTGTTTCAAAAAACGGTAGCCAGAAAGGGAAGTAAATGAGGCTTTCTTTGAGGAAGGGCTGAGCAGAGACACTGCTCCCTGCAGGCCACTCAGTGTGGACCCTTCCTGGGCCCTCACGTTGCAGGCTCTGGGTATCAAGGTGGGTGCCAGACACTGGTGTGTTCCCTCTCTGCTGCTGTCCAGACAGGCTCCTGGCCTCCTCCTGCACCCAGGGTGCCTGGCCTGGCTGCTCTGCCTTGCCCAGTAGCCAGTCTTTGGCTTAGATTGGACTGAGGCCCTCCAGGGGGGTCCTTGCTTGGGGCAGGACTGCTCAGCACCCTGTCTTGCCACCCAGGCCAGATTGGGGTTCCGTGGCCTAGAGCAGGGAGTGGACTTGGCATGACCCATCGCACAAGCCCAGGTGAGAGTTTAAAAGGCTGTCACAGTTCCGTCAATCGCTTCACCAGACAGCGGGAATACCTGGCTCTGGGGGCCAGGTGGTTCCTCTGCAGTCACTTACAGGCTGTTAGTTACAGAGGGGACGCATGTGCTGGATGAATCATCCAGAGAACCCAGGAGTAGTTTCTATTCCTGTAGACACCTGAAAGTCCCAGCATGCATGGCTTTGAAAAATTGCTTGTGGTTGGTCAGACTCAGTGGCTCACGCCTGTAATCCCAGCACTTCGGGAGGCTGAAGCAGGTGGATCACCTGAGTTCAGGAGTTCGAGACCAGACTAGCCAGCCTGGCCAACATGGTCAAACCTCGTCTCTACTAAAAATAAAAATTAAAAAAAAAAAAAAAATAGCTGGGCATGGTGGCAGCTACTCCGGAGGCTGAGGCATGGGAATTGCTTGAACCTGGGAGGCGGAGGTTGCAGTGAGCCAAGCTTGCACCACTGCACTCCAGCCTGGGCAACAAGAGTGAATCTCTGGCTCCAAAAAAACCACACACACACAAAAAGAAAAATTGCTTGTGCTCTGGTCCTCCGACAGGGCCTCCCAGCAGCTCCAGGCACGGGAGCTGCCTCTGCCAGGGGAGGTTTCGGCCCAGACTTTCCTGACGGGCTGGAATCTATGAGGGCTCTCAGCTAAGAGCCACCCAGGCCCACGGCGAGTCTCAGCCCTCCCAGCCCTGACAGTGGGCGATGACACGGAAATCTCTGCTTGCAGCACTCTCGGAGGCCACAGGCCTGAGACTGCCCCAAATCTCTGTGCAGGCCTGGGACAGAGAAGCCGAGGCTGAGGGAGCTTCGGGGCTCCACTGACCATTCTTGCAGAAACACATGTGGAGGCTGAGGTCTCCTCTGAGGCTGGGCATGCAAGTCCTAAACTGGAAGGCGTGCAGTACCACCCTCCTTTCCTTTCTGTGGGCAGCAGTTTCAGATCCTAAACCCCCGCAGTGCTGGAAGCCACCACGGCCTTTGTCGGGTGCTGAGAACTGCTGCTTCTGCGTGGTGGCCCTGTTAGAGCGTCTGAGGTGCAGGAGAGGCTGCCTTCTCTTCCAGAGGCTGCCCAGGCTTTGACACATGCAGTGTGATTTTTGGCTTTTTGGTTTTTTGGTTTGTGGCAGCTGGGGAAGCAGGGCGTGCAGATCTTCCAAGAGAGCACAAGAGTGTAGACCCCCCTCGTAGAAACTGCTCCCCATCTCCACACCCTAGTTCCACTCAGCACCTCTGCAGACCCCAGAGCCAGAGCCCCTGGGCCAGACAGGGTGACACTAAAGCCGCTCAAAGAGCATCTGGTCCCTCCCCTTCATTTCACTCACAAGGAAGTCAAGACCCAGAGAGGGGAAGTGACTCCCCAGAGCAGGCTGGCAGCCAGGCCTGGAGGAGAAATGACATCTCTCAGCCTTCTCAGCTGCACTGGACCACGTACAGGTAACAGCCTCTGGGCCGTTTAGAGAAACTGAGGCACAGCACCTCTAACCTGACCTTGCTCTTGTGGACTGCAGGTAATTCTCCTAAGATCAGCGGGGCTTGTGTGGGCAGGAGCTCTGTGCACACCTGCCCCGGCTCAGCGAGTGGTCCCAGGTGGCAGGGCAGAGGCAGGCTCGGGGTAGCCTCCGTGACAGCAGCGGCGGCAGGCAGACCTGGTTTGTCCCTGATTACGAGTGACATTTTTCTACGAACCCTCAACTTCCTCCTGATCTGAGTCAGGGTTGCAGCATCATGTCGGGTGGGGAAACCTCCCCGTAGGTAGGCTGGGAACCTTTCCCAGGGCTGGGAGCTCGCGTGCCACCGCCCTCCACCGAGCCCGTCGCCCATTCTCCGAATCCTGTTGGGAAACCACCAGGTGCCCGAGATGACACACTCTCAGGGATCATCCTGCAGCTCTGAGCAAGTGCTTGTTGGGGACCAGAAAGACCTAGGAGCCCAGGCTCACCCACTCACCAGCTGTGTCATTTCTCTAGCCTCCGTTTCCCTCTCTGGGGAATGAGGCAATACATGGTTTCTTCCTCACGGGGCGCTCGAGGGCAGCAAATGAGGGGGAGCGCCCTTGTCACTATCATACATTAGAGCTGCATTGTTCTCAAACCCCAGCCAAGTGTCTCTTGGAGAGGCTGGGAGGGAAGACACAGCAGCGCTTAGAACCCTGAAAATTCTAGATTCTTCCCTGCAAGGGAGAACCCAAGGTCAGGACATGTCTGGCTGGCCTGGCCTCACCTGGGCTTCGTGCTACCCGAGGTGCTGGGGATGAGGGGACCGGGCCGGGCAAAGCGCCGTCCGTAGCTCCGTGGAAGTCAGGGTTTGCCTTCGGTTCTGAGCGGCTGTCCCAGTTCCAGAGGGAGTACCGGTCACTATGGAGCTGCAGCAGACCAGGCCACACGTTCAGCCATTTCTTCACTCGCTGTCTCATGCAATAACCTTCCCAAGCGCAAACTGTATGTGAGGCTCAAGGATGAAGGTGAAGGGGATGAGGTCCTGGTCCTGGGCTGCTGCAGGACAGCAGGGACACGCTCCCCTTGGGGGACACAGAGGACTCTTCAAGACACTCACTTGGAACTGCACTGGGAAGACCACATTGGATGATGCAGGTGTAGCTGGGAAATGGGCATTCGAAGGAAGGGGTGGGATTTTTAGCAGTGGAGGGGTGTGTCCAAGGGGACAGAGGAGCATTAACTTGCAAAGACGTGAGGAGGGGGCTTGGCAGCTGCTGGTGGGGGCCAGTGTGAGGGAGGAGGAGAGACTGAGAACATGAGTTCCAGCTGGTCCCTCACAGCCTGGTTCGACCTTGGGTAGAATCTTTAGAGTCTCTGTGCCTCACTGTCCTTATCTGTGAAATGGGCATAATTAAGGCAACCTCCCAGAAGTGTCCTGAGTTCCCGCCACACAGCACTGAGCACATAGCTGGCCACCTCTCATGTTCCCAAGCCAGCCCCTCCACTCTCCCAGCCCCACTCCAACCCCACACGAGCCCTAGCGACATGCAGGCATTGGGAGATTGTGGCTATGTCCCCTGTCCCCTCTGTGTCCTGTTCCTTCTTGCCCTCGTGGCGCCCAGAAGCCCAGCTCAGGCACAGGCGGATGACTTTATTCACACTCTATTGTTCGTGGTGGATATGCTGTGTATTCTAACTGTGGAATTTTGGGAGAACTCCAGGAATCCATCCCTGTGGCTGTGCCAATGCTGCTTTTGTAAGCTCTGGCCCTACCATCTCTGAGGTGGCTTGCACGGCAATGCTCTGTGCAGACGACAGCCCCACAGCTGCAGGAAGGACCACCTTCTCAGCCACAAACCTCTGTTGGGTTGTGATCTCCCTGTTGCTTCTGTTCTCTGGAAAATCCAGGCCGCCGAGGGAAGGAAGGTAGATCTGGTGTGGAGCTACATAGGTGGGTTTCAAGGTCTCAGCTGTGCAGGCACAACCTCAGGGCTGCCACAGGTGGGATGCTGGGTCCTCAAAGGTGTGAGCAGATGAGGGTACCACGGGGCACTGGCAGCTGCGGCAATCCCAGCTGCAGAATGTGTAGAGTCAGCAGTTAAGAGCCAGCACGGGCCGGGCGCTCGGGCTCACTCCTGTAATCCCAGCAGTTTGGGAGGCAGAGGCAGGAGAATTGCTTGACCCCAGAAGTTTGAGACCAGCCTGGCCAACATAGTGAGACCTCGTCACTACAAAACATAAAAAATTAGACCAGGCATGGTGGCTCACACCTGTAATCTCAGCACTTTGGGAGGCCAAGGTGGGTGAATCACCTGAGGTAGGGAGTTCAAGACCACCCTGACCAATATGGAGAAACTCTGTCTCTACTTAAAATACAAAATTAGCCAGACGTAGTGGCACACGCCTGTAATCCCAGCTACTCTCGAGGCTGAGGCAGGAGAATTGCTTCTTGAACCCGGGAGGCGGAGGTTGTGGTGAGCCGAGATCATGCCATTGCCTTCCAGCCTGGGCAACAAGAGTGAAACTCCATTTCAACATAAATAAATAAATAAAATTTTAAAATAAAAAATGAGTTGGATGTGGTGGTGCATGCCTGTGGTCCCAGCTACTCGAAGGGCTGAGTGGGAGGATTGCTTGAGCCTGGGAAGTTGAGGCTGCAGTGAGACTTGATTGTGCCACTGCACTCCAGCCTGGGTGACAAAGCAAGACCCTAGCTACAAAAAAAGAAAAAAAAAAAAAGAACCAGCACAGTGAGGCCAGGACTCTGGGCTTAGGGCTGAACAGGGCCTTAGGGATGGAAGAACTGAGACGGAGCCCCACAAGCAGAGGGAGCAGGAGGAGAAGCAAGGCCTCTGCGCGCCACCCAGTCCCTTCACACGTGAGGTGCTTTCTCTCCTTTCCACCAAAGCCTGGAAAACAGCATTATATTGAAGGAAGATTCTACTTCAGGGTTAAAAACAACCAAAAACACCCATCAGTAAGACACAGCGGTGTGTGAATTCCCTCTACAGCATTCTGGATAAGCGCATCTCCTTGCCTTTGCTTGCATACCTCTGGTGACAGAGAGCTCACCACATGACGAGTCTGCTTTGCTTTGTCAGCTCTCGGACACTCTGGCTGCTTTCTGCGGCACCTGGAACCCGTTCCTCTTCTGACCCCATAAAGTCCTAGGGTGAAACACGTCACGAGCGCTGGGGGAAGGAGGCCCTTGTGTCTTTCCTTCAAGGACTTAGGAATGTCTCTAGGCCTTTCTGCGTGCTCTTCCACGCTGTGGTTGCCTAGCCCCTCGGAGTTCAGCCCCGCAGACAGACAGCCTCGGGTCCCAGGGTGATCAGAGCTGTGCACTGGCCACGGCCGTTCCCTCTCCACTTCCAGGATCACTGAGTGTAGCCTTGGTTCACCTTATATCTCTCTTTCCTGTTTAAAAGAACACTTAGGAATTCCCACTTTCATTTAAGAGGTGACTGCATTTGTGTTTTGTGTATAAATGTTGTTTCTTTAAGCAATGTACATCTGATTTTGTCTCTTGACTCACATGTTAAGAGGCTACGTAAGAGAATGCATAGAAATGTCTATTAAGTATTATTAATATCACGGCACTGCAGCTAAGAGGTCAGGACCAACAAACAGCTATTTTCTTTGCGGTCTGAGAATGAGGAGTGTAATATCGCCCTTGCTGTTGGGGACTTGCCTGGGCTCGGGAATGGGATCAATTTTGTAAAAGACCTTCTGGTCTTCTAAAGAGAGCATAGTGCCTTGATTTACGACGGTCTTCTTCCTGATCTGCTAGTCCACCTTGTTAATTGGGTTGCGCAGAACTCTAATATTCTCTATTTGGTCATGGATGTTCTATAAGAGGGGCACTAAAAGCTCCAGCTACACTGTATTTCTGTTTCTCCTTGTTTCTGTTGCATTTCTGACGTGGTCACATCATGTACTTGTTTGCTATGATAATTGGAACAGAAATAGAATGTTTTATGTTTTCATTCTTTATTGCAACTTTTACTCCTGTGGAGTCCCCATGTTACTTTCTCAATGCTTTTTACTAAAAAAAAAAAAAAAAAAAAAAAAAAAAAAAAAAAAAATTACTTTGTTCTATTCCCTTCCTTTCTAGCACAAAATGTGCCTGATAAACCAAAGCTTATGCTGTCATTTTACTCTGTGTCTTTTCCTTTTCTTGATGCTTTTCATTGACAAAAGATGATCGAATTTTTTAAAATTGCTGGTTGGTTTTAATAGATTAACATAGGGAGTATTAACCATTGTTTATAATATTTGCATAAACCTCTGTGGGGTCACTCCTCCGCTTTCTATGTTGAGATATCACGGTTTTTTGATTTTTGGTTTCTACTGCGAATTCTCTCTTCCTTTTGTCCCGTTAAAATAGAGAAAGTAATTTAACCTAAGTATTCAATTTGGAAAATATTTACATTTTAACTTCTTGTTTCTATTGATAGCTTGCCAAGCTTTGGGGAAATTATGTTTGAAATCTCTTTTCTCCCCTTCACCCACTCTTCATTGTGAAGCTGGCATTTTGTCTCTTTTGTATTGTCCTTTACTGCTTATGTAACACACGTTTTTATGATGTGATGGCTGACCTGTGAGCAGAGGAAACTTGTTTATTTTTCAATTATTTTTAAAATCATGAATCGGGTTCTTGTTGCTGCTCTCTCATCATTTGGGTGGGACTTGCTGTCCCACTTGACATCTCCACATCTCTCTCTCACCTCATGCTTTGCTCCCAAGTCCCATCTTGAAATGCTCATCTCTGGCCCTGCAAGGTCACACCTCATCAGCTGAGCTTCAGTGAATTCAGTGCGTGCCTTTAAATTTTGTGTTAACCTTCTACCTGCCGTGCCTCAAAAACAAACCCAGACCACAAGCTGTTTCTATGATGTAAAAGGAAAAAATTGAAAGGTATCCTTACTGGTCTCCTTTTCCCCCGCCAAGCATTATATATATAGGTATGTATATGTATATATATATATAATCTCAAGT